GTGCTTGGCAGGACTGATAGTAGTAGATCGTGTCAGGAGTGACTTGGGAAACTGCAAGTTGATTCTGATGTGAGAGAACTGGCCATCTGCAAGGGTGTTGCCCAGGGGATGCCTGGAAGTTTTGATGTTTTACCATTCTTCTCTCATGTCCCTACATGGGGAACTGAAGCCGACAGAGGGAGCTCATCCGCGCTCTCCCTGGATTCGAACCTCCGATTTCTCGGTCTTCAGTCCTGCTGGCACAAGGGTTTAACCCATTGTGCCACCAGGGGCTTTTGTGGCAGGGCTGGTGGAAATTAGCATCCCTGCAGCATTTGAAGGGCCACATTTTGTTCATTCCTGCTGTGGATGAAAGTATTTTTCTGTTACAACATATCAGATGTGAGAACATCAGAAGAGCCTTGTAATTATTTGGATCCATATAATTCTGATTGGAAATGTGTTGGCTCAGAACACCAGCGCAGCTGGGCTTAATGGCAAGTCTGACACACCTGACATGTGGGAGGTTGCGTCAAATGGATGCCCAAAATCTGGACATGTATGTAATTATCCTGTCCTGTTCATGTTTCCTGACAATAAAAATGCCTGAAGCAATAAGAGAGAATGGGGGTTCTGGTCTGCTCAGCCACATACTCTTTTGTTGTGTGGGGTTGAGCAGACCAAAACTTGCCCCAAATCTGTATGTCAGGGGTGGACAATTGTGTGGGGCTAGACTCCTAGGAGAATTTGGAGGATCACATCATGCCTGGACCCCACCATTTCTCAGAAGATGTTTTTGTTTTCCAAGCTTTGTTATTCATGCTATGCTAGAAATGCTGTAACTGAAATATCACTGAGAGCCAACTGCGTGAAACTAGGTGTTATGGATACATGAAGTTCCAGACCCTGAAAACAGCCTCTGAAGCAACCAAAATACACAATGTACTGGTCACATAGTTCTCAGATAACAATTACAAGTTATGCATTACATATTGCTCATGCATACTTTGTTGTCACAATAACTCTTGAGTTCTGTGAAATAATGATGCTTGGAATAAATTTCTTAGAATCATGGAGTTGGAAGAAACCACATGGGCCATCCAGTCCAACCCCCCTGCCATGCAAGAAAAGCACAAGCCAAGTACCCCTGGCAGATCTTCTACTACAGTGATTCTCAACCTTTCTAATGCAGTTCCTCATGTTATGGTGACCCACAACTATAACATTATTTTCATTGCTACTTCATAACTGTAATTTTGCTACTGTTATGAATTGTAATGTAAATGTGTGACAGGATGTATTTTCATTCACTAGACCAAATTTGGCACAGATACCCAATATATTCAAATTTGAATAATGGTGGGATTGAGGGAGGGGGGTTGATTTTGGCATTTGGGAGTTGTAGTGACTGGGATTTATAGTTAACCTATAATCAAAGAGCATTCAAAACTTCACCAATGATGGAACTTAACCAAACTTGGCACACAGAACTCCCATGACCAACACAAAATAGTGGAAGGGTTTGGTGGGCATTGACCTTGAGTTTTGGAGTTGTAATTCACCTAGATCCAGAGAGCACTGTGGACTCAAACAATGATGGATATGAATCAAACTTGCCATGAATCCTCAATATGCCCAAATGTGAACACTAGTGAAGTTTGGGGAAAATAGACCTTGACATTTGGGAGTTGTAGTTGCTGGGACTTATAGTTCACTTACAATCAAAGAGCCCCTTCAACCCCACCAATAATAGCATTGGGCCAAACCTCCAACACAGAACCCTCATGACCAACAGAAAATACTGAATGGATTTTGGAGGAATTGACAGATGTAGTTCACCTACCTCAGGGAGCACTGTGTTCCTAAGATCAGCAGAAATATGTGTTTTCTGATGGTCTTTGGAGAACCCTCTGACTTCCTCCTCATGACCTCCCCCCCCCCCAAGGGTCTCGACCCCCAGGTTGAGAAATGCTGTTCCACTGCATCATTCCCCGGCATGACAGCTCTATTTTTTTCCTTGCCTCTACTTTCCCCTTCTTCTGGTTCTTGCTCATATAAGGACTGGACAAAAGGTTGATAATTTTTAATAGAAAGGGAACAGAGTTGAGAGGAAACATATAGCTGATTACAGACACAAAAATAAAACCAACTGTTTCATTTTAATGGCTGGATTTACTGGTGAGTTATCTATTCTCTTCAAATGCTTGGTCAGTTTTCCAGATTTCTGCCTGCAGATCTAGAGTAAGGCCATTAGATGGCATTTGAACTTCACTCTTGAGCCCAAATAAAAGTTGCAACCACTTCAATAAAACTCCTACATAACCACAAAGACATGGCCCAATTGGAACAATATCTTGGATGTGGCTTACCAAATGTAATCCTCAGTTTTCTCTGTTCTGTTCTCATTTCTTAGCCTCAAGCTATAAAAGATTTTGGTCGGTACACTTTGTGATGGCCTGTGGAGGTGCTGAATGTAAATGTAAACACCATTGGATAGATAGATGTCTTTTCAAAGAAAGAGAAGTCAACAGCACAGGGTAAAGAAGAACTCACTTCTTTTAGCAGTTACTTAAATATGTTCTATTTATTTTTGGTATCAGCTGGATAATTGTCTTATTCTCTGAAGCCAGCATTTAAAAGTAATTGACTTTTTCAAAGAAGTAAGGACAATGAAAACTTCAGTATTAAAACTCTTCCCCTGCGCATAAGAACAACAATGTCCCCGATAGTGTTTGTTCAATTTCTCAAAAGGCAATGCTGCTGCCTGAAATCATAAACTGAGGGATGTCAGGATGTTTGTTTGGGGTTCCAGTCTTAAATGAGCTATCTGTTAGCCAAGCAGTTTAAAACTTAGAGCTTGATGAAAGCTTGATGGAAGAAAATGGCTTCTGTGAGCAAAGACAGATTAGGACAAGTAGAAAGAAGGATAATGGTGGGAGAAACTTCAGATTAATGTGCACAAGCATGATACAAAGTATGATGCAAAGTGCACTCTATGCAGAATGCATTGGAACCTTTTAACAGATTAGTTTGCAAGTCTGAGATGCAAACAAGCAGATGTATAATGACACTTTAAAAATATAATGTCCATAAACCTGTGGGCATGAATGATCTATTAGAACAAGGTGATCACAGCACTCCATGTGAATTCTGAGGTAACAAGAAGGCAATTTTCTGAAAAACAAGGCATGAAGGGCACTTTGTTTTAGAGTTTAAACATTCCCAAGAGAAATTATTCTCCTATAGTTGGCACACCAGACTTTCCAGACGAAAGAGAATTGAACAGAATGTTATTTTTTGGTTTGTGTTAGGGGAAATAGATTTTCTCCTAAAATACTCAGGTACACATTATTTTAGAGGAAACTCAAGCCACCTAAAGGTATAATTCTCGCACTTGAAGGTGAGAAACTGAATGGGGAAAAAAGAAAGCAAAGGAGGGGCTCCTGGGTCTGCAGAAACAACATTTGGCCGCATACCACTTCGGTAGGCATGGTATAACTAGATTTCCAAAGGTTTTTGGGAGGTAAAGGCAGGTATAACTGAGGTGAAGTAAATAACCCATTGTATGGAGAGTGTAAAAAAAGTTTGTCATGATATTAGAACCTGGGGGTATCTATGGAAGCTCCATGATACATAGAGTTCCCACTTCAGTACCATCCCAGGCCCTGAAGTTTTCAGGTGGAAACCTGACAGCCAAACAGAGTTCCTGGTGATGTCATTAAAGTGTTGTGCATTAAGTAGCAACCACAGTTGCTCATCATTCTACCACATGACATTTTCTCTGATTTAAAAAGCAAGAAAAAGCAATAAATAAAAAGACTTGTTCAGTCCCAGTGATAATATGAACCTGGTTCTCAGACAAATGTTAAAGTCCAGTCAGGAAGGATGTGTTTGTGAGAAAATGATTAATTTGATTGTCTTGTTTTGGTGAGGACTGACATTCTCTTGAAGGACAGATGCTGGACAACTGTGGTCTTTCAGATGTTTTGTTCTAAAACTCCAAGTTAATGATGAATGGTTGTGACAGCTGCTATCCAAACACATCTAGAGGACCCATTCTACCCTAAAGGAACATATTCATAGTTAGTGGATATTGATTAATCCAGCTTTGTGCTTTTGATCGCCATACCACAACTACCTTTTGCCAACACATGATAGTGTGCCAGGCAGGCATTATTTGTGCCACCATATAGATAGAGATAACTTGGAATGTATCTTTTCTCTACTAAGTTCTAGACTTTATGTTTCGTTATGTCATACGTGGAGACACTTTGATGTCTTCATGATTTTAATTACTTCTGAATACAGCTGATAGAACATTGGTCTTTGACTGAAACTACAAGTGTTTCCACACTGTAGATTGCAGTTCGACACCACTTTAACTACCATGGCTCAATGTTATGGAATCTGGGGAGGTGTAGTTTGGTGAGAAACCAGTACTATTTGGCAGAGAAGATTTGCTAAAGATTTCTTTGGGGTGCTTTGATTGTGATTTTTGCTTCTTGGCAGGTAGCTGGATTGGATGGCCCACAAGGTTTCTTCCAGCTCTATGATTCTATGATTAACGGTCTTGTAAAATAACAAATCCCAAGATTATAATATGACAATATCCAATTTATATTTGTTCCCTGATTTCCTAGACTTCCCCAAATCAGATGGTGAGCATATCCAATTCTATTCACAACGGGATACATAATTGGGTGGGATATCCTACATGTTTTGAAATAATGTGGATCTGGGGCTACTTACAAGTTCAATAACACCACAGAAAGGTCTTGAGGAGGAAAGAGTAAGACTGACCATTCATCCCGCCATCCCTAGCCCAGTTCCTTTGAGATAGTAGCAATGTATCACTTATTTGCACTGCAGAAAGGAGCAAAGAGCACATAAAATCACCTCTGTGTTTCCCCTGCACATGATATAGAAGCAGTACTCACTCCTAGTAGTGACTGAGAATAATTGCATGTTAATGTCTTGTTATATGCTTCCACTCTGTTATTTTATAGAAGCATCTTTAGCTCTTTGACTTTTCAGCTGTGTATCATTTATTTATTTTTCATCACCCAAACAGAGAGCCAGCATCCCTGGAGTCCAGGGTTCTGTTCCCCACTCAACAATGGAGACCCACTTTTGACAAGTCATACATTCTCAGCTCCTGGAAATACTGTAGTAGGAGCACCTTAGGGTCACCATAAGTAGAAAACAACTTAAAGGTACATAACAACCAACAAACAGAAAACAGAATTTACAACCATCTAAAATTCTGAGAGATGAGGCTCAAAGAATAAACTGAACTTTACTACAGACTAGTAAACAATTAAAACTCCACTTTGTCAGGTGACATTTGCTTCATGGACAATTTTATTATAAGGAGACTTTAATTCCTTAGATTTTCATACAGTTGAGCATTGGACTAGACTCTGGAGATCGGGCTTTGAATCTTTGCTTGGGCATGAAAATCCAATGGATGATTTTGGGCAAGTTACACTCTCTCAAGGTCAGTGAAAGGCAAAGACAAACCCTCTCTGAACATTTTTTGCAAGTAAAGGTTCATCTAGGATTGCTTTATATCAGAAATGACTTCAAGGACCACAGCAACATAATGTCTGTTCTTTTGCATGTCACCACCAAGGCTTGTCTCTGGATATTAGATTTTTTTGTGTGTGTGTGAACCCCTTGAAGTGGCATTCATCAAGCCATTCTCAGGCCATTGGCAACTGCAATTATGTATTTATTCTAAGGATGACAGTCTACTTTGATCAATGGGGCTGCATCACCTGCCAGGTCCCCAGTACCATCCTTTAGCAAAGAAACAGTGTGTGGAGAATGACAAAACATAGTTCTTTGAGTTACTGTAGCTCAGCTGCAAAGCATCATTCCCCCAGTGATGGACTTACAATTGTAGCCACAAGCTGGCAATAAGCACTTCAGTATTTGCTAAGTATTAAAACATACGGACTGGCTTCTCTCACTGAACTATACAACATTTGTCTAGATTAATTGCAGTGGGATTAAGAAGCAAAACAGGCATCAGCTGTGACAAGGGGGTCACCCTTTTTTCTGATTCCTCCTTATAGGAAGCCAGACATTTTCTTTTCTCCATTCTGGGATGAGTCTCTTCTTGTCTGTTGTGACCTGGCTGCCAAGATAGGGCCAGTATGTCAGCTTCTGAATGGACTGGAACACTTTATAAGCGGTTTCTTCTTCCTCTCTGTAGAGACAGAATATTCAGTGTCACTCTGACAAAGCCAGCAATTGGATTACAGAAATAGGACCAAATCTGGACTGCACTATGGGAAAATACTTGTCATTTTCAGAGGTTGGAATTGTGACTTTTGTGGACCAAATCCCCATAGACAGCATGGAAAGAAAGACAAGATACTGCCTCCCCCCGCCCTTCTATGTAGAATTTAACTGGACTAGCATTTGAATTCTACTTCAACACTGGCAGTGGAACACCATTTCATCCAAGGACAGCAAACTACTTTGGGATGGGAAGGACAAAGCTATGTGGCACACACAAATCTGTCCTTTAACAGAGGGATGTGGCTGGAAAATTCAGGCAAAATAGCTGTGGAATTGCCCTGCTTTCCTCATGATATTTTGAAGTGGTTCCCTCACTTTGCCAAATGGTTGGGGTGACCCAGAATATGGAGACATTTCTTTTTTTGTTTCATCAAGTCAGCAAAATGTCTTGAGTCAGCCCTGTGCCTTGTTCATTCATTTTACCTGGCAATGGCATCTTCACCTTGTAAACCTGTGTTTGCCCACTGCTTCTTCCAGAATTTTATTTTCACAAAGATTGGTTCTAGATCAGTGGTTCCCTACCTGTGGTTCGTGGACAACCAGTGGTCTGCAATAACGAAAATATGGTCTGCGGCCTCACCATTAATACTCCGTTGCCTCAAAACCATGCAGCAATGAGAGCAACTGGTCTTGCCCTTTTATAGTGCTGCGGCAATGGGGATGTTGGGAGGGGAGATTACTACTATCACATCAGCTCTAGATTATTAAATATGCTTTTCTATGAGCGAGCAGATATCAGAAACTAGAGCTAATGTGGTTTATCCAATGCAATTTTCTGAATCAGCACCCCAAATAACCAGACCAAATCTAAAGTTGACCAAAAACTGATTTTGTAACCCTTTTGGTAGTAATAACAAGCGTTTGGTTAAGCAGTGCAACCAATCATAGGAAGACGGTAAATGGAACATAGGAATGGCACATGGATTATGAGAACGGATCTGATTTCAACTGAGGCGTTACGTTATGTTTGTCTTGTTGATCTGTCTTGTTGATTGTTAATTGTTGTGGATTGATGCTGTTGATCCTGTTTGCTGCATTGTTATGTTTTAATTGCACTGACACTGTTTGATAATTGTACCATGTAAACCGCATTGAGTCGCCTGTCAAGGGCTGAAAAATGCGGTATAGAAATAAAGCAAATAAATAAATAATGAATAATATTGGGAGTGGTCCCTGGTTAAAGTGGTCCCTGGCCAAAAAAAGGTTGGGAACCACTGTTCTAGATGGATGGTACATGGCACTATCAAATCAAGAAACACTATACAGTGATGCCATCTTTCTTCTCTAAATACTTTTTAAGGCTGGGGGAGGGGAGAGAGAAATGACATAATAGATTAATAAAACATGGGAGAGTTACACATGGAAGATGACATTGTCTGGATCTGTCCAAGGGGGAATTTCAAGTAGAAGATACCTCAAAGTAGGCATTAGAAGACAGTGTGCCTTTATTATGTGTTTTTCTGCTGAGTAGATTTTCTACAGTAAGATGGAAGATGGCTCAGAAAAAACAGGGAAAGTTAAGAGTGAAGGAAGACAAGTTGGTAGTACAATTAAAGTGTCTGTTAAGGAAGAGAAAATGAAGCATTGTGCTAAACTCATGTCCTGTGTTTTAATCTTTGCTCTGTGTATTTTATGTATCTTTTATAGAAATATGTTTTAACATGTATCTTTTATAGAAATATGTTTTGATATGTGTATTTATAGAATCTTTACAATGATTATATGTTTTAACTATGTTGTAACCCATCTCGAGCCACAAGGAGAGGTGGATAAGAAGTATTATTATAATAATTATTATATAGTAGATTACTGTTTTTGACCTTTTAGCTAAAATCAAGCATGACAGATTACAAACGTCCAAATTTCCTAGACAAGTAATAGTCCTTGTTAGCTGGAGCACTCTGGGTATTATTTTGAAGCTCTGCTTTCACACTATAGGTCAGTATTCTCCATTGTACCCAAGGGCAGCAGGCTAATCCTTCAAAAACAACGTATTCATTCCCTTTCCAGAAATACCGGGAAACTCACAAGTGACATAACAGAAATACATTTTTGTGTCTGGGATTATCTAAGTATCAACAGCCGATGTCTTCCACATAATTGGGGCAGTGAATTCATTCTGGATTTAAAAGGAGCTACCCAAGGTGCTAAATCAAGTCTGGAAAGATGGTTCATCAGGCTGGATAATTCCTTGAAGGTTCGGACTAAAATTCAAAGTGGATTCGTCATTCTTACTGACATGGAAAGCACCAACCATAATGGAATACACATGGAAATCATAGTTTGGGGGTCTCCGAATGGCGGTCTTTCCCCAGGTGTGGCAAATTAATCTGCTTACGACATCAACATGGAAGTGTCAATTAGAACTACTTTATCTGTTGCTTCTATCTATCTTCCACGGTTTTTACCTTGGGCAGGATCTTGAAAAACAACAGCTGGTATTATGTTTTACAGCAATTATGCTATTAGCTGCCACAACCAATTAACCTGAGGTTATAGCCTTCCTACTTCCTACTTGAGCTCCCGGTGGTGCTGTGGGTTAAACCACTGAGCTGCTGAACTTGCTGACTGAAATGTCAGTGGTTCGAAAGTGGGGTGAGCTCCAGCTGTTAGCTCCAGCTTCTCTCAACCTAGCAGTTCAAAAACATGCAAATGTGAGTAGATCAATAGGTACTACTTCAGTGGGAAAATAATGGTGCTCCATGAAGTCATGCTGGCCACATGACCTTGGAGGCATCTATGGACAACACCTGCTCTTCAGCTTAGAAATGGAGATGAGCACTACCAATGTGACTTAATGTCAAGGGGAAACTTTTACCTACTTTCAACTTCTTTTCTATAAACAGCAAAATATGGGTGCATCTAGTATCTCTTGATCAAAAAAGTCTGCATGTCCCTCCTTCCAAAGCCCAGGCCAATTTAAATCCAATCAGGCAGCACATTTAATCCAAGCTATGTCCATAAATCATACTGCCACATTTTTTGGGTCAAGGAAGAACTATTGCTATTTTGAGGATTCAGCTGCTTACAGATCTTAGCAGGCAAATTTCAAGGATTGATTTTTCTGGAAGCATTTCTACTATAGAACACCTTTCTTAAGATGCTCTGTCCTTCACCTTACTGCTAAGTGGTCCACAGAGAATTTAGGTGGAGAAAAGGACAGTGTGAGGTACTGAAGAACCCTGGAAATGAAAGGCTGATGTGCCATCATTCCTTTTACTGAGAAACAATGTGACAAGGAACATGAAGCTGTGTCAACATGAAGGACACCGCTCCCCCCTCTCATGTCTAGCCCAGGGATAGAGAACAAATGGCCCTCCAACTGTTGTTATATGCCAGTTCCCATTAGCATGACTCTCGGGGATGATGCTTTACTCAAATACCAACTGATAGTTCCTTGCAGCCTTATGCCCTAAAGTCATTACTCTTCGAGATGCATCCATGCTGGCTGTGTGATTCTGGGAACTATGGTTCCAAAAGATAACATTTCCAAATTCTATGATATGGAGTGTGGTAAGTTATGTTAATACAGGAAAGAGAGGACTCTCCCTCAATAAGTTCGTGTCATTCTCTACCTATTGTTGTATCTCTGTTGATAGCCAGGAAAAAAATACTTTTCATATATGATGCAACTCTCTTATCTATGGAACCAGTATCTGTGGTTTCTTTTATATATGTCTGGGAACATATCTCCTTTCTAGGCATTTTCTATGTCCTCCAATGTTACTGTGTTATTCCTGGATCAGAGGTCCTTCATTTTAATAAGGTTTGCTATTATATGTGGTTTTATATACCCACATGAAGCCTGGGAACTTATCTCCTATTAATACAAATTATGATTTAATAGAAATTAAATATATAAATGGCTCCAATCCTTAGCAGACTTTCTTGAGAGTTAACTCCCTCAAGAGCAATATATATAAGAAAAATGAAAGTCTTTTTCAAAGTCTAACTTCTTGAAGATCAACACCTATGCATTTTGTCCCCCTCTTCTTTTTGGGTACAGATTCTTATGCTGCTCCTCATCCCACACCCTAATGCCGGAGAATAAACAGAACTAAGAAATAGATTATTGGAAAAGACTGTCCTGAGGTTCTCAGCCCCTTAGTGGATGATCAGGCCTGCTGCTCAAGAAACACATTTCTTTCCAGCAACTATCATTAAAATAAACTGGTCACACATCCATGCCATTCTTTATTCTATCCCCTAATGAGCTTTGACCTTCCAACTATGCCACTTATTCATACATGTTCTTCCCATCTTGGAGCCCTCTTTCCTATTTTTGCTTCCTATCACTTGCTTCTATCTCAGGCCCAGGGCTTGAAAACATTACTTTTCTCCATCAGAACTTCAAGAATTCTACAACCAACTTGGCTGCTAGCTAGTGGCAACACTGGCTGCATAATTCTCTGAGTTATAGACAAGAAAATATGGTCATCTCAAGTTATGTTGTTGTTTATTTGTTCAGTCACTTCCGACTCTTCGTGACCTGATGGACCAGTCCACACCAGAGCTCCCTGTCGGCCGTGGCCACTGCCAGCTCCTTCAAAGTCAAGCCAGTCACTTCAAGGATACCATCCATCCATCTTCCCCATGGTCAGCCCCTCTTCCTTTTTTCCTTCCATTTTCCCCAGCATCATTTTCTTCTCCAAGCTTTCCTGTCTTCTCATTATGTGGCCAAAGTACTTCATCTTTGCCTCTAATATCCTTCCCTCCAGTGAGTAGTCAGGCTTTATTTCCTGGAATATGGACTGGTTTGATCTTCTTGCGGTCCAAGGCACTCTCAGAATTTTCCCCCAGCACCACAGTTCAAAAGCGTCTATCTTCCTTTGTTGAGCCTTCCTTATGGTCCAGCTTCCTTATGAGCCTTCCTTGAGCCTTCCTTATGGTCTCCTTATGAGCCTTCCTTATGGTCCAGCTCTCACATCCATAGGCTACTGCTTTAACTATGCAGTTCTTCGTTGCCAGGTTTCTCTCTCTACCCCTCACTATTTTATCGAGATTGGTCATTGCTCTCCTCCCAAGAAGTAAAGACTTTTGATTTCCTGGCTGCAGTCTGCATCTGCACCAGGAAATCAGAAGACGTTTACTTCTTGTTCTACCCAAGTATTTTTTTTGCTGTCCCATGGTCCTCCACCCCTTGTTACTTTTCCTAAGCATACTTGTGGCATTGTCACACCACACATTCATAGCTCTATGGAGTTTTACAACCTCTTCACATGATGTGATGAGGGAAGGAGAAAGGGCACACAAAAGGGCCATGTGAAAAGGGCAGAAGACTACTCTTTATGGTTGCATCCAGTGGGATTCTGGGGCTTGTAGTCTGATGAGTCAGTAGAGCTCTCTGGCTGAGAATTCTAAATATCCCTCTCTAAACTATAAATTCAAAGATTCCATCAGATGCAGTCATGGCAGGTACTGTGGAATCATAATGCTACAATTAAGTATATGAAAGTACCCTTGATGAATTATGCTTCTCTTTAGTCATCTCATGTAGGGTCTTCCAAATATAGCAGGACCAGCCAGCTGCAATTTCTTTCTTCTTTACATATCAGCTTTAAGCCTGATGGATGTTTCCATCATTATTTTATCCAAGTGCACCACTTACCATGTTGTGTATTCCCATGAGATCTTGGCAGGGTCCCGAGATACAAAAGCGCCTCTGAGTTTCAAGCCTACAGTATGGATTCTGGTTAGAGACCCGCACAGACATTCCTACACCGCAGCTGGCAGAACAAGCAGACCACTCAGTGCTCCATTCTTCACATGCAGCAGGGAAAGCCATGGATGCTGTCCCAGGCAGTCTTTGTGCTGAACAAGGAAAATGGATAAGGAAAGGAAAGGGAATATGTTAAAGCTGACACAGACTTCAATCTTTTATTCACATGTTCCATTTGAAAACAGTGGTATTTAAGACAGACATTATTAAACTAGGTTCCTTTGATTTCAATGTGTTTACTCATTGTGATGTACTCATTACATCATGAAGTCTGACTCCAACTAGATTTGATATTTTTAAAATGCTTAACATATACAACATGTAAGCCTTTTCTTTTGCAACGAATCTTTTGCAAGTCACCTACATACATTCTAATGAATCTGCGAAGTCCTTGTTTTATCAGAAAATAAATGTGCCACCATAATGCCATGCTCCATCCCCACGTGTATTCATTTGGCTCCATCTTAAATGTCTGAAGAGAGCTTGTTTTTGGCCAGTCCTGTTTGTAAGTCAGTCCAGAAAAAGTTATTAGTCTACAAAAATATTTTATTAGTCTGCTGCATTTTGATGTTGGGCACAGAGGCAAGGCAGAAAGTTCTGTTGCTCCTTTGCCAGCTTGCTCACTCCACTTTACAGAACTGCTTGTACAGCTTGCAATTCCTTCTTGCTTACAACTACCAGTAAATGCTAAAATACAAGGCTAGCTTAAGATGTAATTGTGGCTCCACCAAAAATATGAGAACTGTAAATGAGAACCAGGAAGCATGAATGCATTACCTGCCACGGCATCTTGCAAGAGTTGTCTCTCTTGTCTTTCACAAATCCATTCTGGGCAACACTTTCCTGGAATCTCCACACGTCTTGGATGAGGGCAGTCTGGAGTAGGGAGGCGAACGTCCTCACTGCAGAGGGGGACACACGTGAAACCTCCTCCTGAGCAGCGGCACTGGACCTTACAGTTTGGCTGGAACACTTCTCCATCTCGATAAATCTTCCCATTCACTTCACAGTTGTCATCATCTCCTTCTTCATCTACAACCAACGTTCAGAATAACCAGAATAAAGGAGATGACTCAAATATTGGCATTCAGCCTATGATAGATCTAACACCAAAGATACTGTATATAGTCGAGTATAAGCCTAGTTTTTCATCCCCTTTTTTAGGATGAAAAAGCTTCCCTCAGCTTATACTCAAGTCAATGTCATTTATTATTTTACTCTGTTATTAGTATTATTTTATTACACTTATTATTTTACTCTGTTATTATTATATTTACATTAAGAGCTTTAATTATTATATTCCATTATTATTTTTATTACATTTATTATTTTACTCTATTATTGTTTTTATTGCATTTATTATTTTACTCTCTATTATTATTGGAAGGATACATAAGCACATTTACATTGAAGAAGGTTAGAATAATGATTTAATCAGAGTTGGGCAGTCTTATCTTAAATTTCAGTTTTATGTAAATATTCAAAAACATTTAACCTACTGATGCCTAAATTAATGTAATTTTATTGGTATCTATTCTTGTTTTGAAATTTACCAGTAGCTGCAGCATTTTCCACTCTTGGCTCATAATTGAGTCAATATGCTTTCCCAGTTTTTTGTGGCGAAATTAGGAGCCTCGGCTTATATTCAGGTTGGCTTATACTCGAATATATACAGTAAAAGAATGTCCCTCTAGTCTAAAACTGAAACATAAATTTCTGAATATTTCAGAAAGGGAATTCATCAGATGCAATAATCCTAGTAACTTAAAAAAAACACATAGTTCCACTATTTCTAGTGTTGGTTCTTGGCACCACCAACTCCTACTATTTTAGGTTCCTCTTTTGGCAGAGTTGTTGGTACCACAGCATTACTAATCTCCTCCTGGTTTACATGGAAACTGGTTCCAAATCTAATGATTATCCATCATAAGATTAAGTAGGTAATATTGATTTATTTATTTACTCTATTTATATCCCACTTTCTTTACCCCAAAGAGAACTCAAGGCAGCATTACAAATGACAACTATTTGATGCCTTTGGACAACAGACAATTAGATACATTGTTAAAATTTGAAATTAGAGTTAAATGCATATTAAAACATATATACATTATAATCACTATATAAACATTGTAATCACTATTAACATCACACCATCCAAATGTAAATTATTCGACTAAGGCAATACAATGTGTGAGAGGTTCCCACACAGATATTGATTCTGAAAAGTAAAATACAGAGTAGATAACAAAATGCAACACCTACACCAAGACCTAAGCTAGAGCTATGTTTCTTTGAGGGGTACCTGTTGGAGGCTACATTCAGATATAAGAAGCTCAGTGAAAAGAAGTGGACTTGGGCACAGAAGGAGATGTGAAGAACCATCTGAATTATGGTGATGATCATTATAGTAAAAAATTATGAGATTCTTATGGAGGGCCACACATTGCCCACTCCTACATTATTAAATTAGAGATTTAATTGGGTTTCTCTGTATTTTTTCCGGCATTGCACATTGCTCTTCCTGACAAGATTTTGGTTGCTCAATTATTGATTCACTCACAGAATTACATGGTGGTTCAGACATCATCATCTTCCCTTTGTAGCCCTCCTGTATTTCCCCACAACTTCTTTCATCTGTTTTTAAAGCACAAGTATTAGTTGAGGAGGTAAATCTAGAACAATTCCAGCCTTGACTGACAATGCTAACACCTGTTAATTTCAAAACGCACATCAACTTTACTAAGGAAACTTGGAATGAAGAGATCACTTGTAAAAAGTGTAATGTAGAATTCCACAGAGATTAGTGAGTGGGACAAAATCCAACTGGCTCTGGGGGGAATGATGACCTTCCAGTTTCAGTTTTCTTTTTACTTTTTACATTTACTTTTCTGGAATATAACTCCCACTTGTCATGCCAACTAGAGGGCATCTTGGAAGTCATAGTAAAACAAAACAAAAAACCTTTTCCAAGTTCATCATGGTAGCTGCTAGTGTTTTTTGTGTTCTGAAGAAACCTTAGATCAGAGGCTGATTGCATCCATTGTTGTATTAGTAAATTCCAAGTTGAGTCACCACCCTTCAAGTGAGACATGCTAGTAGTAAATCAGGAGCTAATCAAAGGAGGCAAAACTGGGCTAGATACACCTTTTTTGTTCTGAAGGAACCACAGCTCAGTGGCTGATTGCATCCATTCTTGCATTAGTAAATTCCAAGTTGAGTCACCAGCCCTTCAAGTGAGGCATAGTAAATAATGAGCTAATCAAAAGAGGGCTAAATACAGTCTTGTTAGATGTAAGACAGCTCCTTTTGTTGCTATTGAATTTGCTTAGCACAAAGTAATACCCAAGCAAACCATAAGACTTGGGTATACAGACTGTGGTATAATGTTTTTTCAAGACTTGACTACTATGCTTCTGCCCTTTCTCAAGATCTTTCTAAGGATTTTGTTCCTAGTTAAGTCTCGTTATTTTGCGAGAAGGTGATATTTATTTAGCTCACATCCCTGTCAACTGGCTTGAACTATCCAAGGAGGACAGGAAATCAGGGCATATTTGCTGAATTCTGCTTGCATTCCTGCCAACTACCATGGGAGCTCCTGAGAGAGAAAGTAGAGAAGAAACAGTTGTGACGTAAAAGCAAGCACGTATTGCGTACCTACTGCTTGGAATGCGAATCCTGATGTTTGATTTATGAGACTACAACAGTATTATCCCCTTCTAGCCGGGTACCCGCCAAACAGCAGGAATGTTTGAATTCTAATGTGCCATTCAAAGCTTATGCAGGTAAACATGCAACCAAGAGGGCAAGGTGTGTTTCCAAATACATGTTTCTCAAAGGGTCTTAACTCTTCAGTGTCTAAACCCCTTTCCCTACTGGTAGTCCAATGGAGATGAAGCATTATTGCAGCTCATTGGCTAAGCTTCCCTTACTGGCTGGGAAATTGTGAGACTGGTTTTCCAAATGCAATGGCTCCCATGCTGTCAGTTATGATGTCATAAACTGTTTCCTATTCACATTTATGATTGGGGTGCCATTGCTACAATCACAAATTCTTTTGAAACCCACCATAAAAATGCCAGGTGTTGGAGACTGTATTTTAGATATGTGGTACCAAAATAACATGGCTAGTATGTAGAAGCCAGTGTGGTGCAGTGGCTTGAGCATTGCGTTATGAATGTGAAGACCACGGTTTGAACCCCTGCTCAGCAATGGAATCCCAGTGGGTGACCTTGGGCACTCTTTTATCCTTAGGTAAAGGTAGTCCCCTGACATTAAGTCCAGTCATGTCTGACTCTGGGGTGTGGTGCTCATCTCCATTTCTAAGCCGAAGAGCCAGCGTTGTCTGTAGACACCTCCAAGGTCATGTGGCCAGCATGACCTTCCTGCCGGAGCGGTACCTATTGATCTACTCACATTTACATGTTTTCGAACTGCTAGGTTGGCAGAAGCTAGGGCTGACAGCGGTAGCTCACGCCGCTCCCCGGGATTGAACATGCGACCTTTTGATCAACAAGCTCAGCAGCTCAGTGCTTTTACCCACTGCACCACCGGGGGCTCCCTTTTATCCTTAAAGGAAAGCAAACGCAAAGCCTCTTTGGATAAATCTGCCAAGAAAACCCTGTTATACATTCATCTTAGTTGGAAACAACTTGAATGAACACAACAACATATAGATCTTGACAGATGTGAATGAAAGTATTTGGGTATATACCGGGTACTGAGAGATTGGCTGTTTCTCCTCAGTTTCCTAGACTAGTCCTGACTAGATCTAGATTTTTGTTTCTGCATTGTGATAAGTAAAGTATGACAGTCATCAGGAGCTGGCTTTTATATATAGTCCCTTAGGCATTGATAAGGTGGCATATGTCCTTCTTTACAGTCGACTGTTTTCTATTTGAATAGTTATTGCAGGTCCATCCTGTGTTTGATTATGACTTCTTTTTAAAGGGCTGTGCAAGTCTATTTCAAGGATTAAGGACAGTGAGAAAAGAGGAGATCAGGGCCTTACCAATAACCAGGCCCATAGCCAGGATTTCGATTGGGGGGGGGGGGGGGGCTGAGTCTGAGTGAAAGAGTCTACCCTAGCAAACCTTTTGTATCGTTACCCCAATACCCCATGCATATGGGATATATTGAGTATGGTGATCAGATCATTATATGAATAAACATAACAGTTTAAATAATGTACCAGTAAGGCCTTTTCGCAGACCACCATGAGAATTTCGGGGGGGGGGGGGCTGAAGCCCCCAAAGCCTCCCCCCCCCCTTGGCTACATGCCTTCATCTAGCTAAAAGAGTCATCAGAAGCATAGCTTCCAGGTTACAGACTTACTTGATATGATGAAGTCTTTGTTTTTTCTATTTAAATAATATCAGTTATTGTAAATGTACACTTACAGACATAACTTAGCACATGCTGATTTGAAGCATACCTGTGTCTCTCCCATCTTCTCTCTGTCGTCCTATTGTTATTTGGATCATGATAATAAGGAAAGGGGCTTAAACTCATCTATCCCCCACCCCCAGTATTTTCCAAAAGCTGATATACATTTGTATGAGTGGACCTCTTCTACTGTTATCAATACCAGGGGAACAATTCTACTGGAAAGGTAGTAAGAGGAGGCTAATTTTATTATCTTTGTCATGGGCACAGGGTTGTAATACAGCTAGTTTGGGGGGGGGGGGTGTCTAGGAGTTGTAGTCCAAATTGTATCTTTTCCAGAATCTGTTCTAGCCAGAATCTCATCAACTTTATGATTTGGGGATCTCATTAATGGTGACCATCAAGTCCAGTTTAGTAGAGAACTTGTAGTATAATAAGAACTTGGATTCTTAAGTCTCTGCTAAACCTGCATAGAACTTCTGACTTCATGTTTTATGGTTTTATTTGGAATTTTTATTGTATATGTTGATAGCATCATTGATGCTTAAGTGAGGCCGCCCTGAGTCCCCTTTGTGGGGAGAAGGGCGGGGTAGAAATGAAATAAATAAATAAATAAGTTGAGTTTCCCTCCCCATGACTGATTGGATCCTGAAAGAGGTGAGATGGGTTTGCTCACAGTTGCAGATTCCTCCTCTCCCCATTGGAGCTGCGCTGTAGTCACAGATTAGACCCTGGCTCTTATCACACACGTGAAGGGAATTGCAAGGCTCTCCCAGCCTGCGGGCACATATGTTGCAGCAGCCACATCCATCAAGGACCATAGGTGAGCCAGGAGGGCAACGGGGAGGAAGCCAAGGACAATAGCATGGAGTTTGGCAACGCTGAGTGTAAACCTGCAAAGAGGGAAGGAAAAAGAAAGAAGGAGAATGGATCATTCCATGGCAAAATGGCAAGGATGGCCAGGAAATTTGGGGAACCTTAGTTCAAAAAGTAACATTTCCTACTTCTTAGGTACAAATCTAGGGCACCACCGCGTTCACCACTGAATAGTTGAACCTCAGAAGCAGAGGTTGTTATTTTTTCTGTGTCTCTAGGTTGACTCTATTTATGGTGAACCTATCTTAGGGTTTTCTTGGCACTATTTATTAGAGAAGGTTTGCCATTGGCTTCCTTTTAGACTGAATGTGTGATTTTCCCATGTGAATCCCAGACTCTTAAAATGATAATCCAATATACAAACAACTATACCATACTGGTTTTTAAGAGGCAGAGTAGGTCTTCAGGGAAAAAAGCCAAATAATAGATATGTTGATGAATGTTTCTTGCGGGAATGAATGTAGACTATCTGCAAAGGTCACTTAAAGCTAAAGTATGCAACATTTCACAGGATTTGGGCTCTTGCAAAAAAAAAAGCATTACTAACTAAATTGAATATGACTGGATCATTTATTTATTCATTTATGGCCCAACTTTGTCCTGGCATAATGGAATAAAAATGGAATGAATGAACAAATGAATTAACAGTTTTAGAGTGGCTAGGACCACCTTGCAGCAAGGTCAAAGCCATTCATGAGTTACAGAAGAGAGCCAATGAATGCATTAAAGGTAGAAAAAAAGTAGAAAATCAATCCTATTTAAAAAAGCAATGAATGTGAATGCCTCCTAGAGTTGCCAGACCTCAGAGCCTAGTGCAGAGTCTCTAGTTTTCACCAGCACTCCTGCGTAGGAGACAAGGACTATGTGCAAATCCTCAGCTCTGCCAGTTTTGCAAGGCCCGGCTTTTTTGTTGTTGCAACTTTCTCTAAAGGGTTTTTGTATTTATTTAGGACTTTAGCAAAGTAAGCTGATATCCCATAACTGTGCATAGCGACAACTTACCAGTATTGTCGCTCCACTGCTGCCTTTATACAACTGCTATGATTTGGCAGTGCAAAGCCACACTTCCAGGTAGGTGGCATGATGCTACTCTCCTGCTGTGCCATTTCACTCCATTTTTTAAAAATAAAAAAGACACTTCAAGGTTTTGTTTTTTTTAAATCCTCCTTTTTCAGCAAGGGGAGAATATGAGAGGAGAACAATCCTACCTGCTGATATCACCAGCATTTGATCACATCAGTGCCCAAACCTCATACCACAAGAAACTGTAGCGCAATCAGAGGGCATTTTTTACTCATCAGTAGGTAGGAATGGCTTCATCACAAGGTAGTGGACCAGCTACAGATATTGCAAGGCATTGTTTGATAGAGACCTTCACACAATGCCAAAGATGACAGTATTGTTTCTATGCATCCATGTGATAAAGTCCTCAGTTAACTTCTTCCTACCATTCATTGTGGAATCATTACTCAACTCAGCATCCACTTTCTAGTTAGGAACAAATAGGCTAGATTAAACATTCCTTATCCTGTCTCTCTAAGTAAGTGAGAAGAAACAATCCCTTTATTCATATTGATCTGGAAAGAAACCCTTTAGTTAAGGTTTCTGTCTTAATTTCCAAACAGGAAAATGTGTTCTCGCTCTCTCACTCACTCAGGGCCCTTCCACACAGCCATATAACCCAAAATATCATGGTAGATAATCCACAATATCTGCTCGAACTGGATTATCTGAGTCTACACTGCCATATAATCCAGTTCAATGTGGATTTTATACAGCTGTGTGGAAGGGACCTCAGTCTCTGTATATAAATAAAATGACATGAGGAAAAACACTTGATACTTAATGCAAACCCCACGACATCATTAGGGGCTGTCCCTAACTCTTAGGTTTTGGCCCAGAAATCTCAGGGCCTGGGACATTCCTGAACTGGCAAATCTAATGGCTGGTGACATTTCTTGTTTTCTGATGAAGATCTAGTTTCCAAACTAATTCCCATTTGGGTTACTCACTTAACAAGTGCCAAGGATTATAAAATAGATTGCCTTTTGAAAACTCTTGAACTATATATCAGAGTACCATCTATATTATTAACCATTTGCACTGGGGATATTAATTCCATTGTGTTTCTACATATAACAAAATAACTCACTGAATTGTGATCTTTTATCTCCCTCTTAGAATCTGAAAGCAAAACATTCTGTCTTCTTAATATTGTCCAGGATAAAACAACTGGAACTAGCAACAATTGTTTTGTCAGACAGCAAACGGTTTCAGCCACTTAAAGATAACTGACTTCCACCTACACTTTGTTATGTCTGAGGCATATTAATTTTAATGGGATTTGCTTTTGATCAGTACAGTAAATAACATGCTGAAGACGTGGTATGATGGCTTCCTTTTATTTCTTTTTGATTTATTGTAGCCTACTGTGTCCTTAGATACCATCTAATCTTATGTCACAAATTTAAAAAGGCACTCAGCCCCAACATCTCTGTACTTGTGTGCTGTCTCCAAAAATTTGGAATCAATCAGCAATCTGGAACTACTGCGAAAACTATTTTCATCCTTTGTTTTCTGCCTTGTGTGTGTGTTTGTTTTAAATGAACTGTGTTCACCCTGCACAGTCCTGCAGGCAGCAACAGCTGTACATATGCTCCTCTGTGTTTTTCAGTGCAAACTTTGGAGAACAGTTGAGCAATCTTGCAAAATAATGCCAGCTGCTTGGCTCTCTGCCTTGGTAGGTTGTAACACTGAGAACAGTGTGGATTACTATGCAGGATCCTCAGCTAACCCAAGTGCATCCCTGTAATAATGGAGCAATTAATGAATGAAATCCAGATATAGGTGCACTCATGCTAAACTTATCACAGGCCAATGAATGTCTAAGATTTGGCCTTTTAGCAGCTATCACACCACCACATTCTCCTTGGTTTCCGTGCACTTGGCACGTAAGCATGTACATTAAATAACATTCATGCTTTTCCATACATCTTTGAACTATTGCATTTTGCCAAACCTAAGTATCCTGGTTATAAATCATCTTGAAAGGGAGGAGGGAGGCAAAAGAACAAATCTTGACTGTCTAAACGAACATTTCCCAGCCTTCTTACCTTGGAAAGAAGACAGAGGAAGGAGATGAAGAGAAGCTGGGTTTTCATTCTGACACTTCAGCACATCCCTCCCCAGGCAGTTTGGAGACAGCAGTGTGTCTGCCGTTTTAAAGCCTGTGAGTAAAGTCCTGCAAGTGTTTATACTCTTCCCTGCTCTGATGTCACTCCCAGGCTCCAGTATAAACACGAAGAGGTTTGGACAAGCATCAAGTTGTTTCTTTTTTCTTTTTCTCTACCCCCTTCCCCCCACATTCCAGTTAACATTTCCATTCACCTCAAGGTGAGAACATGCAGCCCATTGACAAAGCCGAGAAAAAGGCTGTGCACTGAGGACCAAAGAAGGAAAACAGTGCACAAACAAGGAGAGAGATCAAATGGATAAGGTGCATCCTTTGAATGGACAGCCTTTCCATAAATGCATAGAGCTCTTAACACAAGAGTTCTGTGATATCAAGACACTTTGGAAAGTTAATTATAGACAGAAGCAGTTCCTAAGAAAGGCTGGTAGTAAGTTGCTACAGTAAACAACTAAAAAGGAAGAACAGAAGAAGGCAAGGCATTGGTAGGGAGATTACTTGAGGTGCATAACCATGCATGGTTGCTGAAAGCCAGCATTCCTCACCATGAGGGACAGGCCCAATTAAATCACCATGCATGCCATGTTGAGAGGTAGTGGCCATGCACTGATATCATACCTGCATAAATAAATAGGATGGGACTCTCAGATCTGATGACTACAAGAAAGGAGATTCCATCTGAACATGAGGAAGAACTTCCTGACTGTGAGAGCCATTCAGCAGTGGAACTCTCTGCGCCGGAGTATAGTGGAGGCTCCTTCTTTGGAAGCTTTTAAACAGAGGCTGAATGGCCATCTGTCAGGGGTGATTGGAATACAATATTCCTGCTTCTTGGCAGGGGGTTGGACTGGATGGCCCATGAGGTCTCTTCCAACTCTTTGATTCTATGATTCTATGACTGCTCAGTAACAGCTAAAGAGACAGCATGGCTCAGAGGTTTGAGCATTGGAGTATAACTCTGAATACCCACTGAGTCACTGAATTCAGAAACAACTTGAAGCATACAACGACGACAATAACCGCTTCCTACTATTTTATTAACAGCCAGGGTTTGCTGCACATTTGATAGCTGATTGAGTGTCCTTTACCAGGTTATGTGTCACACATACACCCCAAGGCTGTATTCAGTATGAACTCTGAATTGCAGTGTTTCGTACTGCAATTCCATACATCACATGCCAATCAGCAATAACTGGAGAGTGTAACATCTTTAGAATTTCAGAGAAATTAGATTCAGTTGTTAATTCCAGGTGGCACTCAGAGAAGATTCAAGCATTGTGAAGCAGGAAGTAGCCAAGCTTTTTCCTCTGGTAGCGATGGGAAAAGGAATAGGAGAATGATAAGTTTTCAGAGCACAGCAGCTGGAAGCAGGCCACTCCAAAGTACTGAGGAGAATAAGCTAACACACCAGAAGTGGCTCTCTCATCTGGTTCTGCTATATATCCCATCCCTGCCCCCTTTCCCCCAGTCTTGTTGTACTGAATGGCAAGGTATGTAGGGATACACTACTTGTGTTTGCTCAACCAGACCCTACTTTCCCAGGACCCTCGGTCAAACTAAGGCCCTTCTACACTGTCATATAAAATCCAGATTATCTGCTTTGAACTGGATTATATCGTAGTGTAGACTCAGATAATCTAGTTCAGAACAGATAATGTGGATTATCTTTAATAATCTGGATTATATAGCAGTGTAGATGGGGCCTAAGAGTGTTTCTTGTCCACAGATGTCACTGTACAGCTATGTCAAGAACATGAGGAGGTGAAGCTTAGATGCAAGAATGGAGTTGTCAGGTTAGTATTGTCATAGTTCCTGAGGTTTCCAGATCAAAACCTGAGACTTAAGGATGACCCTTTGGAGTGTTTTTAAGTGTTATGTATTAAATATCAATCACAGGTACCCATAAAATCTGAAGAAATCTGTGGCAAGCTGCCAATCTGCAGCTGTACCCATAAAATCAGAATCACCATTCAGTGAGTTTGGTTCACTTCTCAGATCATGATAAACTCAAGGGATTATTAGAGAACAAGGAGATGAGGTATGGAACATTTAATCTAGAACAGTGCTTCTCAACCTTTTCTTCATCATGGACCCTCTTTTGTGGCCACATACCCCAAAGACTTAACTCAAGATTTAAGGCACATCAAATAATTATTTCAATTTTCTCATAAACTTCCCTTCAAAGTTATGTTTAATCTTTGTCCTGTGTATTTTAATGTATATTTTTGTAGCAATTTATGTTTTAATATGGGTATTTTGTAGAATGGTTTTAGATTATTGTGGGTTCTTCGCAATGTTGTAAATCGTCTCAAGCCACGGGGAGAGGCGGGTAAGAAATAAAATTATTATTATTATTATGAAGATAAATTAATCTGTTAATGCACCCACTCCTGTTATAATATTTTGATGATAATGATCACATTCAAATTTAAAATAATACTATCAACAGTAATAATAGTCAATATTTAATCCTTTGCAGACCCCATGACAACATCGCAGACCCCCAGGGGTCCTTGGTCCCAGACTGAGAAACACTGATGAAGACTACTCTGATCCTTACCTAAGAAAGCCTTATGAAGGTCATGGGATCACTATCAGTTTATCTGTGGCTTGAAGGCACACACACATCCACACACTGATGAGTACAAGGTGCACCCTGCCTCACTATGGCAGCAGGAGTAGGAGACACTTAATTAAGTAAACAAAATGATACATCTGGTATTGTGGCCTTTCCAGGAACAAATCAATTAAACCTTTGGAACTGTGGCAAGCTGCCGATCTGCAACTTGAGTTGGAGATTTGCACCCAGCCTCTTTTCTTGATTAGAGCTGACCCTGCCCAACCCTCCAAAAAAACAAGATGGTGTGCCCACTTACCACACAGTTGGGGATGACTCTAAAATCATAAGAGACTCTGCAATCTGACCACCCTATGGAAGAGGTGGGGCTCACCACATCCAATTGAATGCCTCGTATGTGCTAAAAAGTACACAAAAAGAAGTTTTCTTAAGAGGACTTTGAAGGAACTTTGAGCAATGCACCCAAATATTCCACTGAAAAGCACAACCTCTGGAATAAGATGTACATTCTCTCTAATGGTAGTTCACCTGACGTGGCTCTATGCAAGCCATCGTTTGCTCTGCTCGCTCGCCTTGCTTGCATCATTTCTCTTGCATTCTGGTCAACCCACATGATTTGAATAAGAACCCATTGATTTCAACAATTCAATTTAACACTGAATATATTGAATTCAATTCAGCAGACAGTGATAGTGGTATTTTATTAGACTCCATCTACCTGAATCTGCCAGACAGCATGGCCAGTAGTAATGTTGATTGAGGAAATCTAAGAGTTGGTCCAAAAACACTTTTACCATTTCTAAGCTCTGGATTCAATGCATTGTTCTTTGAAAGGTGCAGGGCACCCTAATACAATGTTAAGGAATTGCTAAGGCAGACATTATATTATCCAAGACTGACAAAATGCAGGAGGCTTTTTGTGCATGTGAGGAAGCGCTTATTGGGGGGGATTTAATGACCATTTTGAAATTTGAGACAGCTGGTTGTCTGGTAAATATCACAAGATCTTGTCCTGTCTGGACTCTCTGTATGGGTGAGCAGCAACTGACATTTGTAAAAGCATTGAAGATGGGTCATACTGATGGGTCCAGTTTTCACTCTTCAAAGTTTCTTTCATCCCACTTACTCAAAAACCCTACAAAAGGAAAACAAAACCCATGAGAACATTTGGACAAAAGCAAACATGACACAAGACTTTTAAAAGTAAGATTTTTGACTACAACTCTCAGAATTTCACTACAAAAGGTTAGTCCACTTTAAGTGTGGTCATATGTTCCTTTCCCAAAATCTCTTAATTATACTTTGTCACACCAACCATCTGTGCCACAAAAGTTGTGTTAACGTATATAATAGATACACACTGACTTGATCATCTTCAGTATTGTACCTCTGTTCGGGAGCAAAACTGTGCCAGTTTGCTAATCCATGATCCTGCAATCCATCTTGGGTATACCCACATAACCCTGATTTCCTGTAATATTCCATACCCAGTGTGCCATAAAAGGAACACAAGTCTGCTTCCTCAGCACCTAAGGAGGGAATTGTAACACACAATGCAACCTTCGCAAAGAGGGGAAGTAAACTGGTCCTCCCCTTTCTGAGCAGTCCAGCAGACCAATAACTTAAAAGAAGCATGGAATCCCTCTCTCCATCACAGAGGGAAACCCAAATTGATGACTCCACCACCAGTCTTTACAAAAGGGCCAGAAGTAGCACTGCAGCAGACAGAGGTGCCCCATTGACCTGTGTATTAGTCTAGTCAGGGGGTTGTCAAAAAATAACTTAAATGCAAATATATACAGTGTGTGAATAAGAGATATAAAGAGGTGGGAAGAGAAAGACAGAGTCAGGGGGAAAGGTATAGGAAGCAATAGAAAGCTTAGAACAGAGCTGGAGAAACGCTGGCATCAACTTCTAAATGTTCCAGCAAGTGTGGATAATAGTAAACTACTGTGGATGTTGTAAGTCAATTTATTGGGAGAGCCAAAAATCCCTACCCTTGGCTCCAATTTTTTTATGGATATTAGATGATTGTGTTAGTGCCTTTTTCTCATAGTAAAGGTAAAGGTTTTCCCCTGACATTAAGTCCAGTTGTATCTGACTCTGGGGTGTGGTGCTCATCTCCATTTCTAAGCCAAAGAGCCGGCATTGCCCCTAGATACCTCCAAAGCCATGTGGCCATCATGACTGCATGGAGCACAGTTACCTTCCCGCCAGAGCAGTACCTATTGATCTACTCACATTTGCATGTTTTTGAACTGCTAGGTTGGCAGATGCTGAGGCTAACAGCAGGAGCTCACGCCACTCCCTGGATTCAAACCTGCAACCTTTTGGTCAGCATGTTCAGCAGCTCAGCACTTTAACACACTGCACCACCAGGGGCTCCCTTTTTTCACATAGTCTATCCACATTTCTCTGTATAGATCTACCTTGTTGGAATGTCTGTTGACTCCATTCACATTTCCCTTACATATAATATTCCAATATTTCTGG